GCAACACACTATGATTATGAGATCTGATAGATGGATGTAAAAAACTGCATTCCTTAACGGCAACTTCGAGGAGGTATATATAATACAGCCTAAGAGATTCGAGCTATTTGGGGCATGTGGATAGCAAGCAGCCCCTATTTGGGGTGTGTTGTCACGGACAAAATTGTAAACGGGGTGTTCGATGTAATGTTTATGTATGTCCATGTCTTTCGGTTTTGTTTATACTTTGCACAGCGTATAAAGGGCTGGTAGTAGGCTTAGCAACCCTATTTTCTTTCGTTTTGGTGGTCATCCTAGGCTTTCAAACAAAGGTTATGACATGTGGGCACTTGTGGGGATTTCGATCTATAATGGATCATTTTGGACCTTTTGTTGTGCGATCGTTCAGAGTTTGTAAAGTCTGTTTGTAATTTGCATTGGCTATGAAGTGTTTACTGAAATGATTGCTTATGGATCCCGAGTGAGACGCTTTCTCTAACCTGTTTTCTCTTTTGTACGTCCTAACAGACCATAGAAGGTTTTGGGTAGGTTGACCTTTGCGAACAGACACGCAAGGGTATCGCACGACTTAGGCAAAACCAGCTAAGTCTATGGCAGTGTGGACAGCAAGAAGGGCCAGCCTCTTCTTAATTGTGTGGTGCATACAGCAAGGAGATTTGTATAACAGTTGACCTCCTTCATCCTCTCCCATAAATATACAGGTTTTCAAGGATATACAATCTCCTTATATAACACACATCCCTTAACACGCGTGGTTTTTTAATTTCGCGGGTTTTTGTGCTCCAATCTTCGCACGATAACAAGAGACTATTTTTTCTATAAAAATCTGGATTTTTTGTTTACGTTCTTCAACTGTGCATGTGACGTCACCCTAGATTTCTCTATATGTTCTACATCACAAATGACCTTCGTGAATTAAACAATAAAGTTTTCAACAACCAAACACATAAATTTTGAAGTTATCATTGTAAAGAAGCAACAAAAATTAAATAAAACCAGGATTTTAATTTCATACGGTATCGCCCAATACATGCGGTACGTACCGATCCGCCAGCAAACCAACACGCGAATTGCCTGCTACCAGGCGGTATCAGGTTTTTGGCCTCATATCAGGCGACACGGGGTTGTACTGGCAGTAGCAGTAGAAATTTTAACCGTTACCGACCTGTACCAGGCAGTACCGATCGATTTTGACCGTTACCAATTGATAACGATTTTTCAAACGGGTAATTTGATCATTGGAGGCATCCTAAAGGGTTTTTAAACCCTTTCCTCCCTCCTTTTTCAATCCATTTCACTCTCACTCTCACTTTCTTAAACTCTTTCAAACTCATTTTTAGTCACAATCTCTCTCTTATTCTCATATTTTTACTCTCCTAAACTCAACAAAACAATAATTTGTAGATTGAATCAAATTTAATAGGCTAATCTGAGAGGATTAAGTGGAAGAACTTTTTAATCAAGAGGTATATATTCTCTTTCTAGATTTTTATTTATTTATATGTTGAATCTCGTATTTTGATGATGAAACTACTTGATATATGTTTATGATTTAATCTGCGTTTTGAGTGACGCAGGATGCTTCGATCAGGATGAGACAATTAAAACAGGAAAAATCATGTTATGTCGGAGGAACATGTCAGAAGATTGGACGTTGGGCCGGTGGATCGGTCGACGTATCGACAGAAGGCTTCGGGTCATGGACTCGGGCATCGGGCCAAGAAGAGCGGGTATTGCGCCAAGGATATCGAAGTTGCGGAGTCAACTAGCCGATTGGGCAATAGGCTGTAGGAGAGGATGATGCGCCGAAGAATAGGACGAAGCGTCGAGGGACCAATAACATGCCGGACAACTTGGTTAATTGCTTATGATTAATTGTCTCGATCGAAGTTTTGTTTTACATGTGTAGGATTAACTACGATGGAAGTAAGACATGCAGTAGGAGTTGCACCAGAGTCAAGACTATGATCACGTTGGGAGTTCGAGAGTTCGACGAAAGTCCGGACGGTCGTCGGAGGTTATGCGGGAACAAATCGGAGAAGTCCAGGAGCTTGCCAAAAGAAGCTCATCGGAACTCGCCAAGTGGATCGTCGCAAGTCCAGGAGTTTGCCGAAAGTTCGTAGGAGCATCACCGAGGGTTCATCGGATGATCGACGGAAGTTCACCGGAAGCTCGCCGGAAGAAGCGATTAACGCACCAGAGCAAGTTGTAGTAAATGTCTTAAGAAATATCATAGTTAGCATATAGATTAAAGTTAGGAATGGGAGGTGATCCCATTAACTTAATCTGGGGGCAATTGGGCCCTTGATAGACCCAAATTAAGCCGAATGGATCAAGCCATTCGGACCAGAATTCCTGCCAAGCGGTGGCACCGCCCAGGAGATGGTCTCCCAGGAAAGCTGGGCGGTGCAACCGCCCCAGTCAGGCGGTGGCACCGCCTGGGCTTAATCTCCGAGCGAGACTAGGCGATACAACCGCCCCTGACAAGCGATGGAATCGCCTGAGCTCTCTGCCAAGCGATGCAACCGCCCCAGTCAAGCAGTGGCACCGCCTGGGCTCAGTCTCCGAGCGAGACTGGGCGGTGCAACCGCCCCTGACAAGCGGTGGAACCGCCTGAGCTCGGTCTCCGAACTCTGCCAAGCGGTGCAATCGCCCCAGTCAGGCGGTGGCACCGCTTGGGCTTAGTCTCCGAGAGAGACTGAGCGGTGCAACCGCCCCTGTCAAGCGGTGGCACCGCCTAGAGGCTCAGTCTCCAAGCTCTGCTAGGCGGTGCAACCGCCAGACCCCGGAATTCCGGGAGATTACAGTTTTGAGCTCCAAATTCAAACTGGTTTGGGGCCTATAAATACCCCTCTCATCCCTGGTTAATTCACACAAGCACAGAGAGATTAAAAGAGAGAAAACATTGCTGTAATCTCTAGAATTTTCCTCCTCTAAATTCTAAGTGTTAGAATTTTGTTTAGAGAGGAGAGTGAGTGCTTGTAAGGGTTGTCTCCTAAACCTGGTAAAAGGAGAAGAGGGGTGTAAGAAGGAGGTTAATCTTCGCCTAGTAAAGGAAGATCGTTAGTGGATGCCGGTGGCCTCGACGGAAGAGGAATCGGAGGAGTAGATGTAGGTCACGATTGACCGAACCACTATAAACCCCCGTCTTCTCTGGTTTGCATTTTGTTTCCTGCTATTACCTTACTGCAAACCCCTTCAATAGCTTACTGCCTTAAATACATTTACGTATGCTTTCAAGCTAAGTTTCCGAAATCGGTTTTACGTCAGAAATGATTTTTATCGTACGAGAGATTTGACAAAGTTGACGTTTTTATCCGCTGCACTAATTCACCCCCCCTCCCCGCCCTCTTAGTGCTCTTGATGCTAACATTATAAGATGATTAAGTCTATTCTATGTGGTGTATGACTTAATGTCTAATATGTTGTTTGATATGCTTTCGATGGTAGAATAGTATTAATTAGGAAGTAATTAAGGTCTTTAATGTTGTGACTAGTATGTTTAATATTAACTTATTCGAAATTAGACACTATTCTTCATAGCTTGAAAAAGATATACGATATTATTCTTACCTAATTTACACTAGTTTTGTTAAAATTATATTAAATATATATGTATTTCTAACTTTAAAACGCTATCCTAATTTTTTTCTATTTTTTTGTTTTTTTGGAGGGTTTTATGCCTATTTTAGGTGTATCGCTCGATATGCCCTGACATACCGTTCAATAGCCGGTATTGTACAAGATTAAAAACCTTGGATAAAACTATATTAACATATTACCTGTGTCATATGCGACTGTTGCTAAAATTGTAAATATCTAATAATAAAATATGGCATTGAATGTCCTTTCATAGAGGCAGAAAAACACATCTCAATTTAGTGAGTACTAAAACTTACCCAATAGTCTTATAAAAAATGGTTCAAATACAATAAATATTCCTATTTGGCATGTTTTTCTTCCTTGGAAGCTCTAATATTCTTTTAACGACTATTAAAATTGCCTTTAACATTAAACCAAAGTCTATCACATTTATACAAAAAGAATACTACAGTTTTAAGTACTATATTATGTTGAAAACAAACAAAGAATTTAAATTTTGTAGGTCATTCTTTTCACACTATGGTTTTTGCCACAAGTTTGGTGGTTATGGTTTCACTTGTTAAATAAGCTAATTTACCAACATAATAAATAGAATTTACGAAGATTTCCACTATTAGAAGCTAACTTATGTTGTTTAAAATAAAATATCAAACATAAAGATATAACCGATGAGGGCATCTCAAACTTACAAAGAAGAAATGAAGAGCTTCCTCATAACTATAAATAAAGATTATTAGCTTAACCAAACATATGACTCCTTACATATCTTAATGGTGGCAAAAGATCCATCTAATATGTCAAGACTTTACAGCTTTGTTGTTATTATTATTACTAGTGCATAATTGTTTACAATTAATTTCTTCTGAATATCCAAAATTACATGTAAAAAGTCTAGCCATGTGGGGTGGTCTACTACAAATCAAGTTTTTGAGTATTGGTTTGGCAACCGAATCTAAGTCCACTGACTAGAAAATAGAGATAACAAAATGTTTCTTATTTTGAATGATATTAACATACTTCAATATAAAATATGATTGAAAAACATACAAATGGATGTTCAACCAAGACATACAAATGGACGTTAAAATTTCATGTTAGAAAGGGGATCATCATGACAATGTTCAACCAAGAAAAGTTTGTAGCAATCACAATGCTAAACAACTATATAAGAACTGATATATAAATCACCTAAGTAACCCACATTGAAGTTAATACCTAAGGAATATCACTAGAAAAAATGGCCATATATTGACTATTATATGATTATGTGGTTACACGAAGGAAATCATCATTCAAAAAATTAATCTATAAAATATAAAATATGTTATTGCAAATTTTACCACTCACTCAAGTGATAAACAAATATTTAGCACATACAAGGTTCCAATGAACAATACCTAGAAGGTTTATTGCAGCACATAGTGTCCCACCAGTAGCAACCAAATCATCAATGATAATTACACGCTCCCCTGGCTGAACAGCTCCAACATGCATTTCCAAGGAGTCAGTGCCATACTCCAGAACGTAAGATTCTGAAATAACCTCACCTGCCCAGTCTCAAGAAAAATAAATTAGAGATGGTCTGTGATTTGTGGCAGTAAACAAGCACATGATACGCATATAGGCAAATAAACAACAAGAAATCTTTTAATGCCTAGCTCTTTAATATAAGAAGGTCTTGCTACTTTTATAGATTACAGATAAGATAATAATCTACAAAGAGTATATAAAAATGAATATGATACAATAGTTAAGAAATTATCAAAAA